GCATTCAGTCAGTGCCAGGCCTAACTGACCGGCCGCTACAATACTAATTTTTAGTGGGTTTTTTTATATCAAACGTTCTACATACAGTGAGGGGAATGTATCAAAACTGGAGCAGATAGAATCTGGTTTTTGTCCACGGCAACCAATCAGCTTCTTTTTCTCAGTTTCAAAGCTTAACTGAACTGAAACTGAAGAGAGAAGCTGATCGGTTGCCATGGGCAACTGCTCCAGTTTTGATAAATTCCTCCCAGTATATGTAACAAAGTAGATAAAATGGGGACTGTCGTATTAGAACAAGCCCCGCCTTAAGTGCTCCTTCACGTCAGTGCATAACTATAACGCACTGTAACACATGTTGGCGTGTTGCAGTGCCATTCATTTTAAATAGAACCCCAATGCACCTTCACAAGGTATTTGTGCTGTGTTAACAAAAATGATGCAGGTTTGCTTTTCAGTCTGTTGGTCCATTTGCAGCCTGTTCAAATAAATGGCCTGCCTTCAAGCAACAAACATGCGTTAAAATGTAGCACAACGGGCTGTCATGGTGTGAATGGGCCCTAAAGCCTTGACGAATAAGTGCACTATTGTTCTTTCTGCCCTTATCCCCTGACATCACAGCGCCCACCCGCTGCAGATTTATAGTAACGGGGATCCAATGCCTGTGGCCTACAGGGATTGTTTACATCCTGAACCAAAGTCCTCTCACTGCCTGCGGCGCCTGCGCAGTACAGCACAATATACTTTTATGGGCCGCTACTGCACAGGCGGTGAGAAGAGTTTGGCCCAGGATGTAAGCAATCCTCGCAGGTGCCAGATCTCAGTTAGCATAAATCTGCAGAGCATCATGGGTGGGCTCAGTTTCAGTCTCGGCTAAGTTTTTATCTCTGAGTGTCATTTCACACCAGCCACAGTGCGTTCCGGAACGCAATGGATCGCATTCCGGCCAGCTCGTTTGTTGTGGGGCAGGAGGGGGCGTGGAGGTGCATTGAAGGCACCGCAGCCACGCCCCTCCAGCCGCAATGCGATCGCCCGCACCCGAACGCGTGACACATCAGTGCCTACATTCCGGTGCAGTCAGAAAAAAAAAATAGTGCTTAACTATTTTTTCTGACTGCACCAAACCGGAACGCAGGCACTGATGTGCCACGCGTTCGGGCGATCGCATTGAGGCCGGAGGGGCGTGGCTGCGGAGCCAATCGCTTCAATGCACCGTCAGGCCCCCTCCCAACAAAATGAGCCAGCCCAGATGTGATCCAGTGCATTCCGGCCCCAATAGGGCCGGAGCACACTGTGGCTGGTGTGAACTAGTCCTGACACCCAGAGTAGAAATATTAACTCTCCTCTCCCTGTGACACCCACACAAGAAATGTACCACTGTCACTGGGACAGGAAGTTATGGGCAGCGATAGAAATACTGTCAGACGTTCTTTTCCTTCCCCAATCTACTTAAAGATTATGTAAAGCTTAACAATTAATTTGCCATATTCGCTCCCTTTTGGTCTGTTAAAGCAGAACTACAAAAATGAATAACCCATTAGAAGGATCAAATAGGAACAACAGCTTTGCTTGCAATATGCATTTCCAATCTTAAGTTCTCCCTACAGTACTTTTCCACCATTAGTTGTCCTCAGTCTGATGGATAGCATTGTGTATCCCACGTCCCCTAAACCCAGGTCATCCTGGACCCATCCTCAGCCTGTGAATGGACACTAACAGCAGATCATTTCTATGTCACTCTGCTTTCTTCCCCTATCAGCATGCTTCTTGTCAGTGCATTAACTGATTGGCTCCTTGTGCTGCCACTTCCACTCACACACCAGCTCTGCTGTACAGAGACTGAAGGAGGCCGATACCAGGACAATTACAGGAACTTACACTTTTTACCTTTACACAATACATTTAAGTGTATTAATGATTACAGAGCTGCAGTCACTTGTGTCTGTTATATCTGCCAATTGAATGTGTTTTGTTATACCGGTTGGTCATGTCAGTAATCCAGTGTTGTCCTGAATACACTTTCTAATATGAGTCATTAGACTTTAGAGTTCTTACATTGGACTACAGACTAATAAGTGTATGTTGTGGAGAATAGGATAGGGGTGAGTCTAAGTACGGTAGTTTATCAAAAGACAACTACGCAGGACTGACACCATTCAGGCCATGAAATGCTGGGTGTTGTCAGTCCACAAGGAAGAGCCAAGGGCATCTTTGGCAAATCAGCAGGTATTGTTTTGGACCCGCAGGGTCTTCAAAAGGATAAAACCCTAGGGAAATGTACTGCATAGTTTTCCCCTTACATACGCTTTAAAATGTGGTTTTGTCATTGATGTGGAGATGTCTCATCATTTCCTGAGACAGCAATAACTCACCACTCCCTGCTCCATACAAAAAAGAAAGTTTTGTCTTATGCTGGGCAATATCCCAGATGGTGCTGGCACACGTGCTGCCCTCAAATAGAAAACCTCACACTGCCCCAGTGATGCCCTCAAATAGAAAACCTCACACTGCCCCAGTGATGCCCTCAAATAGAAAGCCCCACACTGCCCCAGTGATGCCCTCGAATAGAAAGCCCCACACTGCCCCAGTGATGCCCTCGAATAGAAAGCCCCATACTGCCCCAGTGCTGCCCTCAAATAGAAAGCCCCATACTGCCCCAGTGCTGCCCTCAAATAGAAAGCCCCATACTGCCCCAGTGCTGCCCTCAAATAGATAACCCCATATTGCCCCAGCGCTGTCTTCATAAATAGAAAACCTCACACTGCCCCAGTGCTGCCCTCAAATAGATAACCCCATATTGCCCCAGTGCTGCCCTCAAATAGAAAGCCCCATACTGCCCCAGTGCTGCCCTCAAATAGATAACCCCATATTGCCCCAGTGCTGCCCTCAAATAGATAACCCCATATTGCCCCAGTGCTGTCTTCATAAATAGAAAACCTTATACTGCCCCAGTGCTGCCCTCACAAGTAGAAAACCCCATACTGCCCTATTGCGCAACACTGACCAAGCAGATCCTGCAGCTCCAACACACATACAGGATCATTTTTGAAGTCCCATAGCTCGAATCAAATGCATCACTATACTCGCCCATCTGTACCGAACACCCCAGCTCATGATAACACATTTCCGAAACCAAAATCCAAGGTGCAGTATTGTAGCCCATTCCACCCCTTTGTACATCATATAGAGAACATTACGGCATCTAACGCAAGATTTGGGAATCAGCCAAAATAGAAATAAGGAAAGCAATGTATTGCTCTATATAAAGAATTGTACAATATTAATAATGAAGCAAAATGGGAAGGAATGTGTCCTCAGAATGTTTGGTGCAGACACTTCCTGTGCAGAGAAAGTCGCATATAAGGTATGAGAAGGGGGACGAGAATGACACGGAGGCAGGAAGGGAGAGAACAAAGGAGTTTACATTATACAATGTGCAGAGGGATTTATTCTGGAACACACTTAGCTTCTAAGGGGGCAACTGGAAGAAAGGAGGGCCCAGTACTATAGTGGTGGGCCGGTGCCTAGGGGTAACCAAACCTAACCGTGATGATGTACCTGCTTCCCTCCATTGCCCACCTCTGGAAATTTGTGGCTAAAAATCGGGTACGGGGGGGGGGGGGGGGGGGGTCTTACAATAATTGGGACATGCAGGCATTAGGACCCATTCACAACCAACATGCAATTAAGAATGGGCTACCAAAACAAAGTGCACCACAATGCACAGTATAAGAGTTGTGGTGCGCTGCGTTGAATTTTGCTCTTCTGTGCAATGCATTGGGGTGCCATTCATAATGGAAGGCAACAATGTTGTAAGTGCATTGCCATGTGTTGTCAGAATGGCCAGTCAGAATGGCCAGTGTGAATGGGCCCCTTTTACACAGGCGGCATCTGTTTCAATCAGCAGGCAACCCGTGAACCCACACCCTACTGAATCGGAGCAGAACCCAACCTAACGGACCCACGTTAGGTCTACGTATGTCCCATTTAGGTCCAAAGAAATGGAAGAGGACGCAAGCCTTTTCCTTTTTTCCGCACCTATCAGACTGGGAGGTATTTGGATGTAGACGGACGCACGGATCATTTTGAAGGGGTTGTCATACAGGTACGGGGTCGGTCTGCATTGCTGTTTCAGGTGTGTCACAGATCAGACTTGCTCAATTCTTCCATTATAGATTCAGCTGACTGAAATATGGCTGACATTAGGGTTTAACCCTTTGTAATCATCACCAGCTGCATCTCTATCATTAACCCTTCATACCTATACCCAGTGCATCCTGGGGGCAGAAATTACACAACCAGCCCCATGCAACCTGGACACACATGTATAATGACCCTCCTTATGTTATCAGAGCAGACTCCATGACTTACACCCTCCTAATCATTAACCCTTTCCTCCCTCCACTTAGTTTACCCCCATAAACCCTTTCCTGCTTACTCCCAATCAGTATTTCTCATTAACCCCTTGCTGGCTGCCAACCCCCATTAATCTGTTGTGTGGCAGTTCAAGCTC